TTGGACGTGACTCTGGTCTTCAATAACGCTGGCTTCATCACCACCGGTCTGTAGCACAAGCTGCCTTTCATTCAGATTCCAAACTTGCACGATGACCACTGGTTTGCTTACTCGCCCATGCGGGTCCCATTCCTGCTCTTGCTGGCCACAGGCTTCTTCCACCGTACCCCGATTGGTCGCAACAACGCCAACATGGCCTGCAACGCCACTTGCATCATCCCCATCACGCACTACTTTCTCAACAAGTTGGTTATTTTGCCTCGCCGCCACGCCAAAAGGCCTCAACACGTCATCTCTGGACCTCTCCGAATTCTGTGCGCCACTGATTTGAACCGTTTTCTTCTCTGTGTTTGCTCGCATAGGATGATCGCCAAGGGACAGCGTGGCTTGGTCGCGTTTACCTCGTCCTCAGCTGGCTTTGTGCCCAACCCCCTCAGCATTCTTTACCCCAGCACCAAGTCCTTTATGACGGTTTTTGCCACCAGCCTGTACGTCATAACATGTCATGGCATACCACCTGGCTGTGCCAGAGAAGGGACCATGTCATGCTGGACTTGCGTAGTGCTCTAGGAAGCTGGAATGCCATTACTCACACTTGATGGCTCTGACTGGGTGCGCAGCGCGGCGGAGATCAAGAGCAAGGGCATCGACACAGTGGTGGTGCACCCCTCACCCATGGCCACCAACTTTTTCCAAAATTCGAGTACGCACTCTGGTTGAGGTGTTGCCCGGCACGCCCTGCACCAAGCTTTGCCTCGATAGTTCGTCTTTCCTCTCTCACTTTGGGGCGGCGTACGTATAGATGGCATGCAAGCGCTCGAGTCGTTCAAGCGCTTTGCCGTCGGCCCTAGCGTCATTGCTGATGTCGTCTTCAACAGCGCCGGTCGCTTTGTCGTCCGCGATCAGGGCTTCATCACTATTGTTCTTCGCATCGTGACCAAGGTACGAACAGCCCTTCTCTGGCTCGTCTTTTCTCTTGTTGAGTAAAGTGTCTGCGGTCAACTCGGGCCCGTGGTTTTCGGTGATATTTGGCACAGTATCAAGCCTCACCGTTTGCACGTGCAAACCAACAGGTTCTGGACTGGAACATTTTTGCCGAGCTGGTGACACGCACCGCGCACCTGACCGGTGACTACGCGCAGTTTAGCCGCGCATAAAACATTCTCTGCACGGCCACCCACAAGGATTGTTCCTCGGATAACAAAGCAAGCGATCATCAGATCAATGTTTCTCAATCATGGTTTTTTTTTTTTTCCTGCTCCATCCTTGTCAATTTAGCACACGGCATACGACCGTTTGGTTGCTTCCTTCTCCACACCTCTTCAACCCTGCTCTCCCCACCTAAACCCCCAAAAATGGCACCAAGACAATGAGCAAGAATACGGGATAGACACGCGATATCTCGTTCCCCAAACCTTCTTTTGTTCGCAAAAGGATTTCAAGAGAGAAGAGAGAGAGAGAGAGAGATATGAATGGTTTGAGAAAGAGAGAAATAAAGAGCAAAGAGACAAAGGAAAAGCACAACGAGAGAGAGAAGAGAGAGAGAGATGTCAGCATGTCATTTGCCATTTTTTTTTTCCTTGTTTGCCTGTCAATTGAGACGACAAGCAAGATGATGATGATGACTGGCGCGGGAAGATCGGCTGGCCGTTGGTCGGCATTGGTGCTTGTGCTTGCTGTGGCAGGTGCGGCGTTGGCCAACTTTACGCCTACCCTGATCTCCTCGGGCGAGCGTCGTGTGGTGGCGACGTACAATGTGGTAAGCGCTTGCACTGATCTCGACGACACCCAAATACCAATGTTTCGAGATCAGCGCTTTGGGCCATGATGCTGGCACGGCCTGCGTTTGCCGTGCGCTTCATCAGTGCGGATGCCAGGCTCATGGTGTTGTGGATCAATGCTCACGTGTAGTCTAGTGAGACCCAGGCGGTGTACTATGCGATCGATGCCGAGGGTTATGACACTCCCTTTTACGTTCTGAATCTGACGGCCAAGAACGCGTACGAGGTGAGCGGCCTGAGATCACGTGTTGGGTGCTGGGGGCGCTTCTCCATGCTAACTGGGCGCTCTACCTAGGGTGCCATCGCTTATGGTGCTTTGACAGGGCAACAAGGCATCGAGAACATCAACGCACTCCTCAAAACCATCTTGCCCGGTGACCCAGAGCTGCAGGTGTGTGCCGTTGTTAATGGGCCGATTGCAGATCAGTCGCAGATCGAGGCGGTGCCTGGGTTGTAGGGATGTGTTCCGCTATGTCTTGATGTCTGCGCCGTGTCTGCGCCGTCAATCTGTTTGGGTGCTCATTGGGGCTGTGCAAACTCAAAGGCCGTCTTGGAGCGTTTCCTGGACCTGCAATTCAAGCATCACATCACTCCTCATCTACCTCAGGTTGGTGGTCCTGCCAGCGTTGTTGTGGCAGCCAAAAGAAATCGAGCAAGACAATGAGCAAAGGGGAAATTATGAAACAAGCGAGTCGGCTTTCAAAGGATCGAAGGTTGGATTCCCGTTTGTCTCATGCATGATCGCGGGTATTTGCAAACCATAGGAATTCCTGGATGAATTTGCGGGTTTGCAGGAGGCTGACAATCGCACCGGTTTCAACACGTCGATTGTGTATTCATACGCCATTGCGCTTGGCGGCATTGCCGTGGGTGATGTGGAGGCTGATATTCTATATTTGCTCGAAGGCGAGCTCCTCTCAGATGCACCTCAATTGAAGGCCAATCTGGCGCTTCGAGGATTAACGTCCAGCGCTGTGGCTGGTGCCATTGCCACTGCCCTCCGGTACGTCACTGGGCTCACCTGTTCGTACTTGTGTGTGTGTGTGTGTGTGTGTGTGTGTGTGTGTGTGTGTGTGTTTATATGCGTGTGTGTGTGTTTATACGCGTGCGCAAGTTTGGTCGATTCTTCTTGAAGCCAGAAGTCCGCAGTACGGCTCACGGTCTCGCTGTTTGACGTCTGTGTTAGGGAGCGTAACATCTTTCAGTCATGCTCCATGTTCGGGGCCTTTGGATCGCGGACCGTTGGTGGCCAGTTGCGTTCGGGCCGAAATCTGGACTGGCTTGCCCAGTCTGGCCTGGCCAAGAACAAACTTATCACGGTACATTGGCAGCGCATTGTGCCTCACATCATGGTGCCACCGTTGCCGCTTTGCCCCCGCAAGGCTTGTGAAGTCGTCGTGTTTTGATGGCATGCTTTGCCGTTTTGCTTGGTCAGATCTACCATTACCCCGACCAGATTCCGTATGCCACAGTTGCCTTTGCCGGCTTCCCTGGTGCCATCACCGGCATGTCGGCGGCAGGCGTGACGGTGCACGAGGCAGGCAACGACAGCAAAGATGTGACGCTCAACGGCTTTGTTTGGCCCCTGCGCCTGCGTGCGGTGATGGGAACCGTCAAGTATGTGCAGACTGCCATCCCGTCTGGTGTGGGCTCCATTCACTCCATGCGAGGTCGTGATGATCGACGGATGAAATTCATGCTGGTGGTGGTTGCGGGTTTTGCGGGAGCGTAGGACGCAGGAGGACGCACTCGACTTTTGGCGCAACACCAACAACACCATGGGCATTAACCACGGTATTGGTACAGCAAGCGATGCCAAGTTTGTCGCGCTCGAGACCAAGGTACGGTTCTCTTCGCAGGCCTTGGTGGCTGGGGCTGGGTGTGTGTGAGAGCGGCCCACAAGGAGGGTGGATGTGGTGCCCACCAGCTGTCACTGCCTTCTTGGCTTTGCTGTCCATCTCTTGCCACTGGCCCGCAGGCGGGTTACACGGCATACTTTGTGGATAACGATGCCCGCGAAGCCAATTTCTCCATCGATGGCAAGCAGTATGGTTTCCCGCTCAAAGATGCAGTGTGGCGCACCAATCACGGCTATGACGGTGTCATTGTGGAACATGCCGTTGAAGGGCGTAAGCCCAGCAGTGATAGCCAGACGCGCTATGTCCTCCTGCACGATGCCTTTGTCGACTATGAAGCACGTGGGGTGCTGATTGATGATCTGCAGGCGGTGAACCTGACGGCCATTGTGGGCGACAAGGGACCAAGCAAACGGGCTGATTTCTTGACCTGCGATCACGCCCAAGAGGGGTCCAACATTGTCTCGGCCACGTTCTTGCCCTATCCTAACAGTACGTCCTGACTGTGCAGCCGCAGCCAGTTTCTCCCACACCCACTCATTCATTCGTTTGCTTCGGCCCTGTCTGCCGTAGACGTCATGTACGTTGCATATGAGAGTGGCAGCGGCGACCAGCACCGTCCCGCTTGTTGCAACGGATATCTTCGCTTCAATATGAGCGACTACTTTTAGCATCTCGGTTCTGAGTTGATTCATTCAATGTTTGTGTGTGTGTATGTGTGTGTGGCAGTGAAAGGGGATCGTCCCTCTTGAATATGTGCCCGATCCTGATCTTTTGCGTCCTTTTGGCACAATCCCAGAATTTCCTGACTCAACAGGAATACATGATGATGACAATTCACACTGAACCGACAAAACAGGTGTCCGCTGACAAATGTATGTCAGCGTTTTTGAAGCTGCAGTTTGCCACGAACCAATTTTGAAACAAGCCAAACATGGTTTTTCCTCTTTGAGCTATACCCGATCGGAGCGTATCGGGTGCAGGTTCAAATTAGGTTCAGAAACCCAAGTTCGGGTTCACTCCAGACCAAGTCAAGGGGTGGTCTGCCAACCACACGCGCCTGTCGCTGGTAATGCACGCACTGGCTTGATTTTCCACACCCTCGATACATGCAGCCCAAAAAGGGGCGGATCCGTAAAACGACAGTCAACGTCAGGGTGTGACGTTGCAGGCTGAAGTTGGTAAGACCAGTGAATATGCGTGTGGCTTTCAAAGGAAAAGGGTGCAACCTCATGCCAGCACCATCACACCGTCCGTTGATCAAAGCGCGTGCACTGCCACTACTATGCACAAGCAAGCAATCACCACCACAGTAAACGGGTTAAGGTAAAGGCTTAACCATTAACACAACGACAACAACATA